GATGTACCCAATGTCCTGCGTTTTTAGCAGCCGCACGGTCTCCACTGAGAGGGCCTTATTGCCGCGATCGCCCTCCACGGTACCATCCCAGCGTTTTCCGTTCTGGATCCGCGACCCGGGGCCCTTGCGGGACATCATGCCGAAGTAGAATTCATCCTCGTTGCGATCCGCGGCTTTTTGTCGCAGCGACTTTAGCTGTGTTTTTTTCTTGCCAAAGTCCTTGGCTCGGAGGGTGTAGTCCTGCGTGGTGTGTCAGTTTCAAAATGGAGGGGGTTCTTGAAAGAGCAGCAAGTGTACGACTGGTTGTTGGTGTTTACCTTGTGCTTCTCAAGTAGGCCGAGGCGACGTCGCTCGAGCGGCTGGGCACGCTCACGATGCGGCCGCCGGGCGACAGCATTTCGCATGGATGACATTGTGCTTTTTTGATTTGGTGGTGGATGTTACGGAAACGGTGTTGGGCGAGCGCGAACGAAATAGGATGGACAAGATGGGTTGTGAACTTGTGACCAGGAAGGTTGGCTGGGAAGGTTGGGAGATGGGCAGAATTCTCAAGACTTTTGGGCGGTGAGGGCGGGGTGGGGCTCCGCAAAACTTGCCCGAAAGCGGATCGAGCTTCTGCGTTAGGTACCTCCTCATAGGTACCTCAATAGTTCACGAAAGAGTGAACGTAATTTTTGTTGACAAAAACAGGCCACCAAAGAGAAACGACTGATGTGTGGCATTATGTTGCTTCGCGAGTCGTACGAGACGAGATACGGGAGATCATAGCCATGCAGTGACATGCGCCGGACTACTTGGGCGGCGGCGGGCCGGGTCATTGAGCTGTTTGGAGAAACATACGATGATCCATGGGTAGAAAGAAGGTCTGAAATTTTGGGCCCAGGGCGAGCGCTGTGACAATTACCTCTTATCGTGTGGAAGCGCCTCTGTTTTGATGGCGGAACGTTGCGATTTGCGAAGAGCCTAAGTTATCATATCATGTCGCGTAATGGCCATCTATATACGCACACACTTATGGTGCCTTGGCATATGATGTTCCTCGTGAGATATACTCGAGGATATGCGTCTGGCCAACGTCTTTTTCGCGGTTAGCTCTTCAGGCGTCGTTGATATCACAAGTGCGAGGACGCCCTCGTCCACAAGGTGTGATGCCTCGATCTTTTCGAGTGAACCCCCTTTTGTCCCTGTATACACACAAGGCTCGAGGGAGTTCTCGCCAGTTGCAATCTGTGCTCTGTGCTCTGTGCGGCTTAATTACCTGCTGAGAAGGCCAAGCAGACGCGACTCCTCGTGCGGGACGTTGAATGCAGCTTTGAATTGCTTTAAGCGGTTGTGGTCTGGTATTGCCATCACTTCTCAAAGATGATGGGTGGTGCGTGGACATAGGTTTTTTCCGTTTTTTTTTCTGGACACACTGTACGGACACTGTTGAAGGAATCCTTGGTAGATGTCACATCACGCGAAGGTACCTGCAAGGGCTTCATAGCCGGGGCTGACTCAGGCCTGATGATTTCGAGAAACATAGAAAGAAACACCCCGAACGAAGGCCCCATGGAGCGTGCTCGTAGAACTGTTGGACAACAAACGTGAGTCTCTTGAATGGCTGACGTTTCTATCTTCCACGCAGGCGACTCCCTCATGCGCACTCCCTCACTGCGCAATACTCTCCCTCAAACCCTTGGTTCTCAACGTAAAGCCCCCTTCCTCCCCAAATGGCAGACCGATACCGCTGTCTTTGACCCATTCGTCATCCATCTTCAGCATGGCACTCCTCAACGCGTCCCCATGCCGATTCATCATCTCGCTGTCCACACTGGCCTGCCGACTCCCTGCGATACTGCCACTGCTGCCGCTCTCGCCATCGGCATCCAAGGCAAAGGGCAAAGCAGGCACGGCGCCAGCAGTCCCGCTCCAGGTCCCTCGTGCGTGACCATTCAGTTTTTTTCCGTCCCATAGGCCCCGTACACCGCCCTTTTTGCGCTCGGGCATCTCGTCTGTGCCGGCGCTGCACACATACAAGAGGTACTTTAGATTCGGGAGGGAGTGGCGAATATCGACGACCTTGAGGCCCTCGGATGCGCAAAGAGCTTCGATATTCTTGTTGAGGAGGAACCAGCCGTATTCGAAGCGCCATTGGCCAATGGTCGAGCCACCACGCGGTAGGTAGAGGGGAAATTCACGACGCTGCCGTTGCCGCTGCCGCTGAGGCTGCCGCTGGGGCTGGGTGTCTGGGATGTGGGATATGTCGTCACGAGCATAGGACCGGGAGCCATAGACGGACAAGGGATACGGAAGAGGCGAGGAGAGATAGAATGACAGGTGGCGGGTGAGCAATGCGACGAGGCCTAGGGCCCCCGAGAGGACATCTTCGCCAATCACTTTGGCAGTGGCGGCATCGTAAACAGAATTCGGCAGAGGTAAGCCGCATATTTGAAAGGATAGTGGCGGTGCGTTGGGGATGGGCGTAATGGGAAACATATCACATAGCTCGGAGCAGATTCGCCGTCTCTGGCCGTGAATTTGCTGCTCCGTTTGCTGCACCAGCTCGACAGACGCAGCTAGCTTCTCGCTATTGTTTTGGATGTCCGCCTCTGCTAGAGCCTGAACCCGTCTACCCTGAGCGATGGCCTCACGCCTACTTCGGAGAGATTTCCGCAGGTCATGGCGCTTTGTTTCCGCTGCCATGTTCGCCCGGCGCTGCATCGAGACATATTTCACTGCCGAGGCAGTCGCTTCGTTGGCAGCAGGATTCGGATCGGCCGGTGACTCGTCCAGTATCTCATTGATCTGCTGCATTATTTTGCGCTGCGTCTCCATGGCGTCTTGAACGGAGCTCTCGAGGTTGGCGAGCTTCATGAGGGCAGTGTACGAAGAGGTGGCGACCAGAGGCGCTGGCTTCGGGTCGGCAGTCCTTGTGGGGAAGTCCATGGAGTACAAGCCATCTTGCAGGTGGAAAATAAGAGCATTGGGCGGAAAACGGCGATCAGTCAGCGTGCCAATGAAGTTGAGTCGTCGTAAGTCGATAATTTCTTCCAGTAAAAAGGTCCACGATGCTCGCTTGGGACGTTTACACCAGACGCGAATGGTGAGAATGCATGCCCTTGAAATGCAGGTTTCCCGAGATGAGAGATGGAAGAACTGAAAATCAAAGTTCTGTGGATCTAAATTAGTGTTTCGATTGGCACCGAGGAGAAAAAAAAGCCGCTGCAGGGACAGGGTAGTAATTACGCACTGCGGATCGGTTGCGGACTTCGCTAATGTAGACGGGTTCGTTGCAGTCTGCCACATGCAGCGAGAAAAAGACATCGCCTACAGAGCTATCGACGAGAGATTCCAGATCTTTCTGCCGTGTTACGGGATTCGCATGGGCCACGCTCAAGCTGCTTCGTCGGGGCTGAGCTCTCGGCCTTCTCTTGTCAGCGCGGAGGCTGTCCAGGCGCAGGCTCTCCGAGGACCGCGAGGCGCGAAGCCGCGGCGAACCTGTTTCGTCGAGGTTGCCGAGCTTCTTGGAGCTCTTGTTGATAGTGGCGTCATCTGATGTGTGCGCATTGCCGGGGCCGCGGGGCGCGAAGGACAGATTCCGCAGAGAGAGTCCCTTTAAATGACGAAGCTTACGGTTTTGAGGAAGCAGACGAGGTCGGCGGGGCTCAGAGAGCGTGGGCATGATGTGCGCATGCTGGCCCGTGAGTGACGTGACGATCAAAGTCGGAAGATACGGACGTCAATAGTCAGCGCGTCACGAATGAAGTCGTCTCAAAAGCATGGGGTCGTTTAGGTATCGGCGTTGTCGAAGCTAGGTAGTGCTCGTTGTCGTGAGCGGCGCCAACGTCGAAGTTGCAGCTTCATCTTGGGCCTTGGCGGAGGCGCAGTGGGATACTTGCGGGGACAGAGTGGAGCAAGGTGCTGGCTTTGTCGTCATGAGTGAAGGGCAGTTGTAAGCAGCGGCAGCTACAGTGTACTGTCACCTGTAGGCTGTGTCAGTAAATGCATCGTTCTTTCCCACTTTGGGTCAGCGACGTGTTACTCCAGTGCCTCGGGCTGAACACCTCTTTTGTACTGTGATTGAAGCTACTTCCTATATCGACTGAAGCAGCCTTTTAACAAACGTCAAAAATCAAGCACACTGTGCGTCGCACGCACTAATGTCGCGAGCTCCGATCGACCGATCACGGTTAGGCTGAGCCAACGTGCACCATCATCATCATTCTTGTGAATGATGTATTCGCGCTGGCCAGCCTGAAGAAGGCATTGGAAGATCGACGAACAAATATCAAGGCCAGACAGAGCAGACAGGTTGGTCATGGTGAGCCACCATCATGCTATGTGGCCCTTTCTAAACCTCTTTCTTGCGCAAATGGGAGGAGCATCTACAACGGAACGAATCAGACATGGGTAGATTCTCGAGCTGAGCGACAAAGGGACTTCTCCGACACTATACAGCAGTCAGCAAACGTATGTAACCCTCAGAATACGACGCCTCATTGAACAGTTAAGATAATTGAACGAAATGGGTTCTAAAAGAAGCAAAGACTCCCGTAGCCATGAGGTAGTTCACCGCAAGCGAACGCATCAACTACGTATTGTGCTTCTGCCCGGTTATTACCACGGCGCGACTGGAGACAACTCAGAGAGTTTGGCTCACGCTATGACGACAGCTGGTACCATCGCCCTGAAGGCTCCTGATGAAAGGTCATCCATTTTTCGGATGTTTGGTGATGGGCGGCAAGTCTCTAGTCATCCATATCTGGAAGCTCACAGCTTCCACGTATGTTTGAGCAAGAGGGTAATGTATCCTACCTGCGACCGCGTCGCGGGAGAAAGGGTGAAGCAGGCTTTTGCGGACCATCGCCGAGGAGGTTCAGAATACAACTTGCGCTGCTTTCATGCTTTCGTGCCGGACAGGGTTTCCGCGTGGTGGCAATGACGACAAGACGAGTCGAAGACTGTGCTTCGTTATTGACAAGAATTAAATCCGACCTTCACATCAATCATTAACTTGAGGCACTTTGGCCGAGTGGTCTAAGGCGCCGTGTTCAGGCTCAGATACGCTCATGCAGCGCATCTTCCTCTTCGCGGTCTAGTAATAGGCGAGGGTTCGAATCCCTCAGGTGTCATTCATTTTTTCGTTTTGCCGCCACAGTTACAGACAGGCCTTTTATGGCAGAAACTGCGGCTGATGGCTTTCAACTTTCAAGTTTTCACACTTTCGCTTCATACTCACCGTGTGTGATTTCCTTCGTTCTTTTGGCCCCCCAAATCCCCTCTCCACACTAACTCGCTGGAAGACTCAAAGAGACAACTCAAAATTGGTGGCGTTTTTCCACCAAATACACAGCCGTTTGTAGTGCTCTCTCACCTATACGCCTCACCGCAAGTCGTTCTGCGACCAGCACGAAGCTGCACGATAACCTCAACGTACTGTCTCACTTCTCCATGTCTCATCTCCTAGTCGCTCGGGTACCGGGCATCGGGTCGGGTCGGGTCGGGTCGGGAGGGGGCCAGAGGCGTTCGGCGCTGGCGAACGGAGAGTCTTCAAGGCGCCCTGCCAATCATGCATCGCGATCATTCAAGCAACGTTGATGTTCCAATCATTCATTGTCTTGGTCTTGGTGCTCACAAAGGTTGCTTGTTGCATTGGCCGTTCAGATCCGCAGCAGGACTTGTACAGTAACTGCTCCAGAACGACAAGCTCTGGACCACATCAAGGACAGCGAGAGTCGACGAATACTCCGTAGGAACAGGTATGAGTCAGGACTCAGGACTCAGGACTCAGCGGATACTCTCGTGCACCTCCAGGACTATTCTCATGGGCTCATTTTGCCGTGGAGTTTCGTTCGGATCACATCGAGGCAGTCCTGCAGGAGCACAACGCTCGGTCAGTCCGCTCACTAAGCCAGAATTGGCGTGTGACACAACTACAAATATGTACCGTTTGTTCACGTGCTGTACGAGAGGGAAAGAGCTATATGCACCTAACGAGGTCCCCAAGAATGGAAAGAAGGGGGTGTCGAACACCTCACGACTGGTACAGAATTCCTTGATGAGCATGTAATGGACACACAATCTTCCGCCAGAGACTACCTAGCTGAAAGCCTTGTCTCTGTCGGAATGCTCTCGTGTGCCTTTTTGCCTTCTTTGAGGGACCCTTTTCACCGAGTATGACTACCTAGGTAGTGACGGGAAACGTTCCCCCGCAAATTGAAAAGCAAAATACTCGACTTTATTTCCACCTTTCTGGCCGAGGCTCCCCGCAAAGCTCGGGGGCAACAATTGGCCGCTGGCGGTCCTGGTAAACTCGACAGAGTTACTGACTTAGCAGGTGAACTATACCCCGGGATACTTCATCTATAGAGGACTACGGTCGCATTCTTGGTATCCATGAGAAGGGCGCAAGCAGAAGCTGGATAGATGCCTGTTGTCACACAACTCTCACTCTGACACCAGGGCTGACTGGCCTATCCAGCCAAAAGCAAAATGGATCTCGTCTTTCTCCACGACCGCTCGTATAGGTATGGCTCAGCTGTGCCGTATTTGCACCATGTCACTCGCATTGTGGCATCCTCACGCTGCTTTACTTCTTGTTACCTCTCCCAGTTCCCTGTTATGAATTATGCCCTTTCTCACATCCTGACTTCAGTGTGCAACAAGTGGCCAGATCAAGAGTCGGAGACTGGACGATGACCAGCCCACCTTGTCATTAGAGTTGGGGAGAGGGAGGCAAAGGAAATGGGAACAAAACCGGATGTACGACTTGGCGACGTGCGGTTGCCGCCACACCCGAGTATCGGCTCCTCGCTCGTCGTCACAGCGTTTTCATGGGCCACTGTGCTACCAAAAGTGTCCTCGAGTCGTTCGGCGACAATCGATCGCACGAGTGAGGAACGATAAAAGAGTGGACCTTAATCGGCAGTCAGCATGAAGCAGACACAAGTATGTACGTGATGAATGTATGAGCGTGACGATTTTGCACGTCGACCAGCTTTCCAGTCACCAACCATGGTAAACCTTACCTCCAGTACGTCATTACCGAATGGACATAGCACTCGAGGTAGGGCTTCTGTGGGCATGGTCTACATACACCTCGTAGGCTGCTGGCATATTACCTATCTCGAACGAAGTCCATCGGTTTCTCCCCACCCCAGAGCCTTCCACCAGCGGAGCGGAACGGGCAAATCCGCCAGGCCTCCAAAGGAATATGGGCTCAGGCCTTCGGATAATAGCCAATTGTTACACATTCCAAGTTAAAATATACGGTACGACCTCTGAAGAATTACACGCAGTCATTCGTGGCCTTTCAGCGCCACTGGTACCACCTGACGCGAAAGGAAACCTCCCTTGTCCACATGAATTATGACCTTTTCTTACAGAACGATGAATATGTCCTCCGCACACACTGTGGCGTTGTGCCAAGCTCTTGCCATTGGGTCAAGGCCCCCCTTCCCCCTTTGTTCGTACGCCTTTCCCTTCCCCACACGCCATGCATCGATGATCGGGGGAGATCCCGCGGCCGTCGACGCAGCAAAGAAAGCTTGAATGAGGCCGTTAGAAGGAGCTAGTCTGCTCTACCTACGGCTTTTGTAAGGGTTCCCCAGCAGCCAATATCGGACGATAGATGCATGCGGGATCGACAGTTACTTTCGCACGAGTACAAGAGGGCAACGGCTTCCACAGCTGAAGTTGCGCGTTATGTCTTAGCCTGTCTGTGTTTCCCTGGCGTTGGTCGTGATTGGGAAGGCAAGAAGTCTCTTTCAAGCCACGTACGTCGGATCAGGTGATATCACGATATGTGGTCGTCTTCTGGGCCGGAGCAATGAGAGCAGCAAAACTCAGAACTAGGAGGTGTAGCAAGACACGACTTACACGCAAGACACGACGTGTAAATTCGTGTCCAACAAGGTGTATCGTAATGTTAGCTCACTCTTGATAGTGACTGATTTTGTCTCGAGGTTTTTTTTTATATCAGACATGATATCTGGGGAATCTTCTGCTTCCGTAAGCGTACAGTGACCTTCAATACCTCCTTTTACTACACAAGTCGGGCTCGTCACACACGACGCCTACGGTCTGTATAGAGCTGACTCTGTCGATGCAGGAATCCGAAGCCAGAAGATCATCTCAATAGCCTATTACCAGTAACGCCATACGGAAGGTCCCAAACACGATGGGGTGGTAAGAGGGCAGATGGAGGGTTGTCTCCGAGAGAGTGAGTTTCTTCTTGTGGACGCCAAGACAATATGCTGCCCCTGGTAAGCTGCCTTGGTAATTCGAGAGAAGGGGTCAACCGAGTGAGACGGGCGTTCCATGGGGACTAACACACAAGTATGACGAGCATGGTGATCCGTCCGGGACTCCGGGCATGTGGGCATGTGAGCATGTGGCATACGAAAGCGAATTTGGTCCGGCGCGTCATGTAGGACGACCAGATGACAGTTTCTCAGCAGGTATCTTGAATGTTCGAACACGTCCTGGACGAAAAAGGGAAGTTTCGTATTGTGAGATTTCCTCAGGGAGGCGCTCTCGAATATAAAAAGCCTCAGTATTCCTTCGTATCTCAACGATCTTTTCTTCTCCTCATCCGACCAAGCCATCTCTCGCCCTCTTATTCGACCCTTTACTTCGTCTTCTGTGTACTCAGCATCCTCCCTCTTTTACTTCGCTTCAACCTCCCCAATCCCATCATCATGAAGTATACTGCCGCCATCGTTGCTCTCGCAGCCACCGTCATCGCCATTCCCACCGGAGACGGCGGCGACAGCTCTGGCAGCTGCAACAACGACCACCCCAACTATGTCTGTTGCCAGGGCGGTCTCCTTGGAGGAATCCTCTGCAACCTCAACCTTTTGGGTACCAACTGCGGTGGAGGCAGTTACTGCTGCAAGTCTGCTCCTCAGGTACGTTGCCCATTATCATGATATGCGTCCGTCGTGGAGTCTATCCTTTACTGATATGTTTTCTTCGCGTCTGTACAGACCGGCCTGATCAACATTGGCCTTGAGTGCATCAAGCTGCTCTAATTGCCCTTTTCCTTCGCCATCCTATTAACCGCCAATATCGCCTCCAAAACACGATGTTGGGGGTGGAATCTTTGCCCAACGCTTGACACATTCACACGGGGCCCTCTCTCCGCTCTCCATCCATCTACTACTGCCGGTGCGGCACGGTAGCTAGACAATACAGGAACAGGATTGGTAGAGGATGATGGCTCATGGACGCATTGTGTGAATGGGCAGCTTTTTCGCCATCTTGGAATCAATTAGGATGCGTCATGAGTTGGGGTTTCGGATGGGATGGCTGGACGAAGCAGGTCTGTTTGCATACAAGGGATTCAAGTGGAAGTAGCTACTTATTAGTGGCATGCGTAGATGGACGCTCGTACTTGGTTGGACGCTTCTTTCCTTTCAATTTTACGTGTTTTCTGCAGAGGAATTGCTTACGAGCAGACTTTTTCGGAGCCGTCAATATTAGTCTTAGTGCGCTGGTAATATCATGATGTTGCACGTGCTGGTGCCGCCTTTGTGCCTTTTCTTCTGCTTCGTCTTCTGTCACCTGTGCTTTTGCGGAGGAATCGCTCATGACTTCAAACTTTTTAAAACAAGCCTTAGTACTCTAACACCGTAAAACCTATACTGTGCCGCCTTTTCTCATCTGTCTTCCTCTTTTTTGCTGCTTGTACTCTATCCAATCTTTCTTCTTGTGTCCCCCTATTGATTGCCCGCCCCCTGAGTAACTTGGCGGCAGATCGTCATCCAGCTCAACAGGCAAATCTGATGGCTCACATACATGATACATACATACGTCTGACAACCAACATCCGTCCTGAGGAAGAGTGCGTCATTATTTTCATTTTTTATTTTTTTTGGCGATCGGGTCACATCCAGAGCAGAAGGTGATCTTATCATACAAGTTAGCTTAAACAGCGGCCTTCAGCTAAGCCATTCCTCCCCACGAGTCACCCGTGATATAGCCATCCCGGCCCATCCCTCACCTCACTCAGTCTTTGCCACCTTTCGCAAGTTTGCAACGCGTCAGCAGCAACGGCAAGCTCACTTGCGCCAGAGAAATCGCATGACATACTGTATACATTGTGTCCAACGTGAAGTTCCATTGTCCAACC